AGTCATAATAACTGCAACTCCTTCATTGTCAAACTGCAATGAGAAAAAATCAAATGAAACTGTTGTTTATGTCAACGAACGTCATAAACTAGCGATACAGAAGTCTAACTTTGTACAGTAGATTCCATGATATACAAAGAAGTATCTCAGTATTCAGGAAATTTGTAATCCAGTTTTAGGAAATTTCTCATCAGTGTGAGTACGTCTTTTGTGATATTTGCGGATGGTTACCAGTGGGGTTTGCAAAACTCACTTTGTTCTGTTAATGACTCGTTGCTTGAATAAACCTTTATTTCGCTAATAATGTCTCCAAACAACTATATTTGTTCTGAATTATCATGGCGCTAATTGCTAGGTAGTCCAGCAATAGTAAACAAGAATTGTACGACTAGTGATTTCTAAGTTTAATTGACTTATTAAATGGAGCAAGATATATTGGCTTTAAAGTTATCTTGTTTTTGAGTAGGAAATTTTAAAGTATAAATAGGAATCCTTACATGACAGTAAACTTTATAAGTTACCGACACAATAAAATGCCAAAACCCAACCACTATGTGAGACTATAATTCCATGTTAGTTTAGTTAGTTGATACAGCACACTGTAATGCAGCAATATTCATTTGATAATTTTTTTGATGTTTATCATTACTTCATTATGTTGAGGAGGTTTGTCACCAGATAACGTCTGACAGTGTAAATGTCAAATGAAATTTACGAACCTTCCACCCAGGTTTTCCTTTAAGGAAGTGTTCTTTCCTGAATAAATCAAAGAAGGTGAATATATTTTAGGGGAATTATTTATTATATCTATAAGCACTTTAGTGAATAGTCTTCTTTGTCTCTTAAAAACCTAAGAAATGAAAGACTTACAAACAAATATACAAAATAAAATTTATTTTCTTACCTGTGGACGTCCTGCTCTTCCAACCATCTGTGATAACTGTGTTGAACTATAGCCGATCATTTCACCGTCAATCACCTGTTCTGTGTTCTTTACAATAACCAAGTGAGCTGGTAAATTAACTCCCATTGCCAAAGTAGAAGTACAGGCTTTTTGAAAGATAAAAAATTAAACGAAATTATAAAAACATTACCCAAGACCGAGATGCAGCCTGACCTAAAGGCATCTTCAACAAGTTTTCGGTCTTCAACATCCATTCCAGCATGATGATATGCGACACCATTTGATAGAAAATCTGAATTTAATGTCATAGAATGTTAAACAGAAAACAAAATAGAAGATAATAGTTACTTCCAAAATCGGTTAGTTGATAAAAATCTTTATCATACAGTTGAATCTTTAAAGTTTAGCAGAAATTATACCAGTAGACATCAACATCAAAAGACATTTGCTATGAGTTTAAACTTGATTAAATATTGTCAACTCTATTAATTATTGTTGCCATTGCTAGAAATTTCAGTTATAATCAGTAACATATTTCTTTTAATATGAAACAATAAGACATCAAAGTAGTTGATAAATAATTAATTTACTCTAGTGTGCAATAATACTAACAAAAATAAATAACAATTTTGTACAACTTTGCTAGATTTACCTGTAAAACTACTAAAAAAAGTGAATACTTCCTTATTAAAGTGATTTTTCTCCAAAAAATGATTTAATCTAAACAAAACGGTGTGACATAATTCTCAAATCTGAAAGAAAAGCAGTAATTCTTATCTATGAATCCTAGAACCTAATTTTTAAAAAACCTGTGAGTACAGACGTTTTTGAACTGCCGTTATATATATATATATATTCTAAAGAATGTTATTCAACTTATTCTCTTTCGGTGTAAGTTAATCCGAGTGTTAAAAGTGAAAGCTATGGGGTAAAAATAATCAAACTGGAATCAATGACCACGTGTAATGGTCTTTTCAATGCAAATTATATCAATATATTGGGGAAAATTAATCACATGTCCATAAATCAATTAAATAGCAGAACGCTAATGATATGACGGTGTGGCTTTTAAACGTTGTTGTCACGACATAGTTTCTGTCTATAAATCTTGCAAGTGAAGTAACGAGAGCACACATACTGTAGGACGGCGCAATATGTAAATCTGGAGATGTCTCTACTTTACTGGATTATTTCAAATTTTAAGACATATTAGAAGATTAACGCTAGTATATAAAAGCAAAATTAGCCAACTGTAAGATAGTAACTGTGAATTAGCGAGTGAAAAATCAAGCCATAAGTTATTATTCATCTGGTCAGGTCACCACATCTATTTGTTCAAGTTGTTAACTATGGTGATAGAGTTCTGTATATAGAAAACCTATATGGAATAGTTAGGATATGAATTTCCATAGCTGAGTCTCATTGAGTAGAAAAAGAAACTTAACTCGCTTTCCATTCCAAGGATTAGGTAAATGTGTTCCAATCACACAAAAGATAATGGACTATTTCAAATATGACAAATACTCATCAGAACTGGTTATCCACCTAAATTCGTCGATGGAAACTTAACAGCTGGAAAACATCCTGAAAAAGCAACAACAGTTTAAAGGAATACTTCTTATGAGTATGGAATTTAAAGGAGATACGGCTGCCAAAATATTGAATAATTGTATTTAAACATCCCTAATTAAAATCATTTACACAGTTAGGCTCCTCATCGTCTTCCGAAGCCGGCTTACCATTTACGGATGTGTTAAATATAAACTTCTACTTTGGGCCACACTGATGTGCATTGGCCGTACAAAGCGATCATTTTCTAAACACAACTCAGGACATTATTCGGAGGAGGGGCCTTCAAATGAAGAATGCAAAACAATTACCATTTCAATATAGGAGCATTTAATCAACTCTGAACATGTTGCTCCGGACTTTTCTTTGAAATTAATCTACATAACCAAAGGAACTGGATCGAGGTTGAGGTCGAATCAACAACTTTCGCACCGCTGAGGTGTTGGCAACCCACCATTTCAAGCCCAAACTCTGCGTTCAAAAACGATATATCTAGCCCTTTATCCTACGTTGGCTCTAGTTCCCTCTTGTAGTACGTTTCGACTTTTTAGATCAGTGTTTTGCAATTTTAAACCGTGATCGATTATTATTATCTATTAACAATCTTTCATAATTATTATTCAGTTATTACGTTTTTTGTTTTTCTTCATATCTGTCAAATGGACAATTATCTTTCATAATTTTAACCCGTAAATTACTTTCATCTTTCTGTTCTTCTCTAACCCTTCAATTAGTACTTGATCTTATTTGATAAGTGGAGTCTCAAATCACTTTGTGATGCAATCTTTTCTATCCTTCTATAGACATATAGTTGCCATACAACTATAAATACTAATGTAAATCTTAAGTAAATGATTTCTTCGAAAAGAAATTATTTCTGGTGAATTCTCTTTAATTTTATTCAGTTACATATTGGGTTATTTTAATTACCACTGTGTGGTGAATGTAACATCCTGAACTACAATGTAATTCAGTAAGATATTGCACGAGCTCTCCGAAAACTTAATAATTGCAGCATTAATATTTTTCCATAAATAACTCTGAGAGGAGGCATCTTGCAGATTTCCTAACATACTAGTTCATTCTCTAAGACGAATAAAATATACAACAAAACGTGAAACGTTGTCTAGTGAAAATCTTTCTCAGTATATTAACTAAAAACTAAAAGTATTGCACATTTTGTCGCGCGTATTTGCATGTAAGGTGTTTGATAACCGCCGAATCACTTCATTTAGCTTTTTTCGAACCCGAATCCACCGCTATGCAGTCAAAGTAACAATTTTGTGCCGTTCTTCCTGCAAATTTTTCTAGCGAGTTTTGAAGGATGCCTTTTGAATTTAATGGCCTCACTCACACAAATCTTTGAGGGACATAACTTTATTTCCATCTCTGAAACTTTTTGTTTCGAAAAAGGTACTTTTCAAGATGAATATTTTACGGTAAATAGTACTATTGGAATTCAGTTTTCTTGAGGTTACAGAAATACAACTCTTATTTCTTTATAGCCTGAAAGGTTGAAGTAGATAACACTTGAGGTATCCATTTGAAAGGACATTTAAACTGGCTTAGAAAATCACTTTTTGACTCAAAAATATTTAATTTATCGAGCAAAACTATAAGAATCTTCATTCTACAAAATATTTGGATTTGAAGATTAATTGACTCTAATTTTATTTTAAAATCAGCTTTCCATCAGTAGTGGTCATTATTATCAGTAAATATGCGATAACAATGTTTGTTTCTTATAAAATTTCTGATGTTAGCTCAAATTAGCACAAAAAGTATGCTTTTTATCTTAGTGTGCGATAAGAGGTTGTAATATCACACTGGATTTGCCTATGTAAAATTTGGCCAAGTTCTGTGGTTCACAGTATAATTAAAAGATAACTTAAGTTTGCCACATTTTAACTTCTCAGGTTATAAGTGAAATAAAACTTTCTGCCTCATCTGCAAACTGTATCCATGTGCATTGTGATGAATAAATCACACAGTTTCATGAGTAGGACCAAACATCCAAATACTTAGCGATCTGTCTTCGTAAATTTCACTTCTGATCAAAATGCAGTACAAATGCTTCATCTATGACGTATTTACTGTGTTATGTACACGTTTTTATATTGGTCTGTCGGTAACAATTCTATGGTAATTTCATGAAACTTCATGATATTGTTGAATCGTAGCTCAATGGTTAATAAACACAACGTTTAAGCACTATGTTACCGGTTCAAACACTATACTATTTACTTCTGTTTCGAAAATATTAAAAACTTACTATTTAGCTCATGTGGGACAAGAATTCCGATTTAAAAAGTGAATAACTATTGTATTTTGATTCATGGACATCTGTCAAAACTTTCTAACCTTTTAAATGAATATTCCTTGTATGTTGAGAATAACATTTTCGGTTTCTGGCAGCCTCAGAGTTCACTGTAAGATGAATATGTCTCAAAATGTATGCCGCAGTTCTAACAGCACCACTTCTAGTTGTACAAAACTTATTATAGATTGCATAAAATTTAATACTTACAATCAGCACTGGCTTGTTGTTAGAATATGTACTTATAAGGTGAGGAAGTCTGTAGTTTAAATTTACTTCAAATTGATAAATAGACTGATTTTTCTGTTTTACATATCCATGTACCACTTTTTTGAGTGGTGACATTCTGAACTCTTCTCCGAATCTATAAATTATTAGTAATCCTTCCAACTCACGAAAAGAAAGAAACAGACTCTTCTGTGACTGATAACCATTGAGCAATCTAGAATTTAAATGACTATATTATGAAAAATCCATCATACATCTTGCACATTTGATAAAGAAGCGGAAGCACATATAAACCGAGGTCTGGCTAACATTTTGGTTCTCGTAATAAGCACTTCCAGTATTGATCCCCTGTCATGTTCTCCGATTAAATGTACCTAAGAGGACGTGTTGCGACACAAACTACTCACTTCGTCAATAAAACATAGCTTCAGCTTGTTCCATATATTAACTAAGTCTCTGAAAGTTTTAACTGTCGAATTTAGTTTTTCCTGAAATATGTATTTTGCGTCAAAAGCAGAATGAAGCACTACCGGTGTTGTTATGAGTAAAACCTGGCTACCAAGGTTCTGAATGTCCACAAACTCCGAATCCCCGGTCAACGTTAAACAGCTCAGGCAAAACCTGGAAAATTTTCTATTCCATTCACTGAAGGTTTGGGAACAAATAGCTTTCGTTGGAGCGACTAATGATAGTAGGCTGAAACTATTTCACCTACTGTAAATTATGATGAAAGGGTCTTTTTGAGACGATATTTCGTAATCATTCAACTGTTTGACAATTGCCAGCTCAAAAATTACAGTTTTTCCCGAACCGGTTGGAGCGGAAACAACCAGTGATTTATTAGTCGTAAAAATCTAAAGGGAAATAATGAAAGTTTCTAAACCTCCTGACAGACAAAATTCTGTATGTTGTTAAGGGTATCAAAGTCAAAAACACTCGCAAATTGCTCTGGAAAAGACGAATTCATTGTGTTTAAAGCACTCCAACGTTTTCTGATAATCTCTAATCTGTACTAATGGACTCCAGACAAACAGGATAATACTAAAAAATGATTGATATCGACAGATTGCTGTATTAGAGTTAGTTATGAATAAAATTATTCAATTTTTAAGAAACTTTATATTCTATCGAGTTGTAAATGGAAGTAATTATTGTTTGAGTGATAACTGATGTTGTTAATTGAGTTCGTACTCTGTGATTCTATCATCAATTTTCTACCAGTTACCCACGCTAAATGTATTTGCAACAAGTTGGGATATGCCATATATTGTCTTTTATCTAGGTTCTTGTATTCTGTGGAGTTTGAGGTTTTTGGCTTAATTCAAGTACTCGCTTCGGTGGTACATATACTAAACTCGGAACGATACAGAAAAGATTATCATTGGCTCCCGCACAAAGATGACACGCAAAATCGTGAAGCGTTCCATATTTTTGGGATGTCCTAATGAGGTCTCTCAGAGTTCAGTACTAAGACCTGTTCTTTCCTTGATTTATATAAACGATCTTTCACAACAGGTATCGTTGCTGCAAAGAAGTGTTTTAGCAAGTGTAATCGGAACACGTCAAACAGCACTCGATCTGTCGACACACAAATCGACATTAAGCAAACTAAGGTTAGTTCGATAGTAGATGACTCATGCCGTTCAAAGAAGGAAAAGCAGTCTCCAAAGAGGCCTGCCTTAAACAAAAGCTCGAGGAAAGTAGGTTCCTCTGTTCCCCGTCTCCCAGATGGGATCCCACAGGAAACGCCTAGAAGCCGCAATCGCAAGGCTTGATCGGTTTCAAGCGATAAACATAACCTGACCTCTCAAGTCGTCGACAACCCTCCAGAATCCAACATTAGGTTTGACGCAACCGTTGTTGCTTCTCCCAGCACGTTGACGAGTGGGTACATGTTGTAAGGAAGAAAAAAAGTAGCGGTATAAAAGGTAATCCTACAACCGCGAAAGTAGTCGTAAAATCGAAAGCTGATCACAGCGACAGATCAGCCATTTTTCATAGGATCAAGGAGAGCGAGGGCTCTGAACCTAAAGCTCGTTTTGAGTATGACATTGTGCTGATTAAGCAGTTGCTTAATCAACTTATGCCCCAAAATATCACCGGGGTCACCTTGCTAAAGGTGTACAGACTAGGGAGTCTAGTGGACTTGAAACCAAATCATTCCAGACTGCTTAAAGTAGTATTCAACTCTTCGAACGAACGTGACCCAATTTTACAGAATGGACACAAATTAAAGGGTTCGGGAGTTTTTATACGAAAGGACTTACCGTTGGCAGACCGTGTAAAAAGGCGGGAAGCCGAAAAATAACTACAAATTAGGTTGGACGCTGGCGAAAAGGACCTAAAAATTGTAAATTTTCGGGTTGTAAGGCTTCGACAGAGAATGATGCCGAAGCCACTCTGGGTGAAGCACGAAGCCACTTAAATAGGCTTCGGATCTCCTACACTAATGCCCTGAGCTTAATTAATAAGCGATTGGAACTAGGTGTACAGATTGACTCTTCAAAGCCAGACATAATCGCAGTTACAGAAACCTGGCTGACACAGGCTATAGATAATATGGAACTTGATTTCGAGGGTTTTACGTCAGTAAGGGCCGACAGAATACAAAAGCGCAAAGGAGGGGGAGTAGCTCTATTCAATAGGAATGCTATCCCATTTGCCATTATCGACAATGTATCCCATGAGAGTGGGACGTGTGAATTAGTTAGTTGCCGCTTGAAATGCAAGGGACAAGAGCTGCTGATTGGTTTGGTCTATCGCAGTCCAAGCTATGAGGTAAACGAAGTACTGCTAAGCAGTCTCAATACTTTGTCACAAAGTGGTCGATGACCCAGGGTCCTTCATTGAAACGGCCTCGGACACATTTCGAAATTCATACTTAAATGTTACCACACCCCACATCCCTTGGACTATACCAAGGAAGCCGAGAAACTCCCCACCATGGTTCAGTATGGAGGTCCGCTTCCTTCTCCGTAAGAGAAGAAAAATGTGGGATAGATTTAGGTTACTGGGGACTGATGAAACTAAATCCCAGTATAATAATAATAATAATAATAATAATTTATTCTCAAATAACAGTTTGTTACATGAGGCATGCCAGTTTACAGGCAAGATCAAATTGATACAAATGATACAATATACACTGTATTAAATTACATAGCTGGGTTGAAAATTTATAAGACATGAATGTAGATTGTTTTAATCAGTACTACAGTTGGCGCGCTTCACGAGGTTTGCGTTGCGAATGTGCGACTGACGATCAAGAATAGGTCCATTGAAGGTATGAGCTTCTAGAAATCGCAACCTTATGTCCCTTTGGGATATCCAAGGCTTTAAGGATGGTGCAGGATGATGTAACCTGTTCCATATCTCAAGGGGCTGAAAGAGGGAGGAAGTAAAAGAAAACACGAGAGGCAGAGTAGCCAATATTCATGTAGGAATGTTTAAGGTATGATTACTCAGTCTAATTTTCTTTTATTAAAGTATTTGTTAAGAAAGAGCATTTTAATAGGTTAAAGAAAATAAGCTTTAGCAAGGTGTGAGTGGACATACAACTGACAAATGGAGGCGACTCGGAAAAGAGCTGAGAGTATAAGATTATGTGTGATTATAAAATAAAATATAGTGCTAGAAACAGTATTGTGATATACAACTGGCTATCTTCCTTTTATTATCGAAGCTATTAGAGCCCCTTTCAAAAAAAAAAAAAAAAAAAAAAAAAAAAAAAAAAAAAAAAAAAAAAAAAAAAAAAAAAAAAAAAAAAAAAAAAAAAAAAAAAAAAAAAAAAAAAAAAAAAAAAAACGTTCGTAACACGATTTAAAGAGGTATTTTGCGTGATAAATCAGCTTCAATACCTTAAGTCCGTGACATCCCACTAAACCATAAGGAGCCGTAATTAAACAAAATGTTCTGCCCTACAGACATGGGTGGATTGAAGTTATCTCCCCACCTTCATGTTTGCTGGTCAGTAACGCCACCCTCCCTCCTTTTGTGATGTTAGGCTCTCCTACGTTTGTGGTAAGTATGATTAATGCTTTAATCAAAGTACATAGTTGGAATACACTGTCTCTACTAGGTCCATGTTACAAGCAAATCAGATATTTAAAAATTCTGTTTTATGGGTTAGATGTCCATATAGTATATCACACTGCTATGAAAATAACTAATGGTTTAAAGAAGTAAGGATTAATAGTAAATCAAAAGATATGAGAGGGTATAAAATTGTAGAAAAAAAAAAAAAAGACTTTAGGGTAAAAAAAATAAGACATTGAGAAACTCACAAGACTTTGTGGCCAAATTTTGAGCTTTGAATGATCGGCCTTAGTAGATCAGCATCCATAAGATTGAGCTATCTGTCTACTTGCAGTAGAAAAAAAAGCATGACTTTTAGGAAGAATAATGTACATTTAACCTGTAGAGATTTGGGGACTGAAAGCTAGGGTTAGGAGCATGAAGTCATGATTAATAAACAATGAATAATAGGAAAGGATAAGCCATATATCCTGTGATTTGGTTATATTCATATTAGTAACAGTCGAACTTGTTATAATTTTGTTCTTTCTAGATACTAGGCGGTCCGTAATAAAGTGCCTCATCGGTGGGCGGGAGTTCAAGGTAATGTTGAAGCTCTTTGGAGTCTAGAAATAGGGTTATTAGCTTTTTGAATCTGGTAAACGTATCACAGTTACGGATAGGCATTGGCAGCCTGTTCCACAATAAACTGTACCGTACTGTGAAAAACTTACAACGCATTTGTTTTTGGTGTTTTACGGTAAGTAGTGTATATGCGTTGTTTCTAAGTCTATAGGCTGGGTCGTGGGTGATAGTCGGGCAGGAGGTTAGAAAGGAGAGCCCATATATCGCTTTGTAGAGAAATATTAAATTGTGTTTTAGCCTACGGTGCCATAAAGGTTCTAAAGATAGATGCTTACATCTGTCTGTGTAATCGAGATTCGAGTTACATCCTAGTAGTTGACGTGTGAAACGTCTTTGAACATCTTCTACTCTTATCTTGTCTGCGATATTCATATTAGAGAAGACAAAAGAGCAGTATTCAAGGGTGGGTCGTACACATATTTTGTAGAGAGTAAGTTTACCCTCTGTTGTGAAAAAGTTTTTCATTATAAAACCAATTAGCCGTCTAGATTTAGAAATAATAGAGGAGGCATGTTCTTCAAAGTTTAGGCTTCCTGTGTAATTAATTCCTAAATCGTGTACTGATTCGAGTGTTTGGACTATACATTCATTTAAGTGAAGTCGCGGTTTATAGGGATGCTTTCCAAAGTGCATGATCCCGCACTTGTTGAGGTTAAATGGTAATTGCCATTTTTCACTCCATATAGTTAAGTTATTGAGGTCCTTTTGGATCTGGGATACACTTTCGCTTAGTGTCTCAGGCTTATAGCTGTATACTATTTTGAGATCATCAGCATATAAGTACGGTTTCCCAAATTCTATGGTGTTACATATATCGTTTATATACATAAGAAACAAAAGTGGCCCTAATACGCTTCCCTGGATGACTCCACTGGTGATTGGTCTAGGGGACGAGAGACAGTCATTGTACTTTACCATCTGTTTACGTTCTGTTAAGAACGAAGCAAACCATGAGTACAGTGGGTTGTGTATTCCGAAGGACTTTAGTTTGACGAGTAGCCTTTTGTGTGGGACCTTATCAAAGGCTTTCTTAAAGTCTAGGAATAGGACTGATACAAGGAGTCCGCTGTCTCGTTTCAGAGTTATATCATTCAGGTAGTCTACTAGGCATGTATCGCATGATCTGGACCTAAGAAATCCATGCTGGGAGGTCGACAAGAGATTGTTAGTTAATAGATGTTGGACTACAGCCGCCTTAACTACTTTTTCCATCACTCTGGATACCACTGAAGTTATGTTTATAGGCCGGTAATTTTCAACGTTTGCTTCAGGTCCTGTTTTAATTTTGGGAATGATATGTGTAGTTTTCCAGGCAGTAGGGTAACACGCTGAAGAGAGTGATATCGCGAATAGTTTGAGAAGCAAAACACACATATCATCACCTCCACGTTTTAGCATGCTAGATGGAATACCATCTGGTCCATCAGTGTAGGAGTGTTTCAATGTACTGATTGCTTTGGAGATATTTTGTACACTGAATTCTACATTAGTAATTTCACAGGGAGTTACTGGGATTGGTTCTGAATCATTAAATGGTTTTTCGTTAGTTAGTGAGAAACAAAAATGTTCACTGAATAATTCTGTGATAAGTTTGGGATCTTCGTATACTTGTTTGCCTTTAATGAATATACTCCCTCTCGATTTAGAGCGTTTAAGTTTATTTTGGAGTAGTATGGTGAGTGCAGAGGAGTTATTATTAAGTTCAACTGCACGTTTTTCCTGTGCTACTGCTTTTTGTTTACTTATTGCCTCTGTTCGGACAAGTATTTCTGTCATCGTTACTAAAGAGGAAAAGTCATTTAAGTTGTGGAATCGAGTACAATGTCTTTGAAGACGTCTTCTTGTACTGACCGGTATATAGAGATCTTTGGAGAACGTAGGTTTACAGTATTCTAAAGGTGCGATGTTGTTGATGATACTTTTGATGTTGTGATAAAATATATTGGTTAATGTGTCGGTATTGTTTGAGGTAAAGAAAGTTCTCCAATCAGTGCTTCTTAGGTAATTGTGGAAGTTATTCCAATCAACCTTGCGATAGTTTCTACGAAGTGTTACGGTTTTACTTATATCGGTTGTGGTTTTTACATTAAGGCTGCATATGACAATGTTATGATCACTACCTGGGAACTTTTTTCCAATATACAAAGTATTGGGGATGAGGCCACTGGTAAAGACTAAGTCTAAGATGTTTTGATGTCTGGTAGGGCTATCGACATACTGAGTCCATTGTCCAAGCTCTAGACATTCAATAAATGATTCATAACGTCTCGGCGCTTTGACTGGCAGCCAAGAAATTTCGGGCATATTGAAGTCACCACAAATGAGCTTGCCTGTGAATGAGAGGGATGATGCTAGCGTGAATACCTCCGATAATACTGCTATTTCATCTATTGATGCGTTAGGTTGACGATAAACACAGCCGAGCAGTAAGGTAACGGAATTCGACGGCTTTAATACAATCCACACCGAATCCTTCAGTTTGTTTAGTTCAGGCATATCACATAGCAGTGAGTTTAGGCTAGAGTGAGCGTAAATAAGGCATCCTCCGCCTCGTCCATTCAATCTATCGCTTCTATATAGGGAATAGTTATCTAGAGATATGCTTCGGTCGGAAATATTACTGTTAGTCCATGCTTCAGATATCATAATAACTGATGGTTGATATATGGATACAAACAGGGCTAAATCCGTCTTTTTGTTGCAGATCGATCGAGCGTTGATAAGACATATATTAAGCAAGTGGCCTACTAAGTTAAAATGGGTGAGGGTATCTCGGATAAAGTCGTCGTAACCCTCGCGAGTGTAAGATGAGTTTGATGTGAGGGATTGGATGTTCTTCATTAGCTCGGTATTTTGATAGCTAAACTTATTGGGAGATGTATCAAATGAGCTGGTGAAGTTGATTGGGGAGTTTACCCAGGAGGAAAGGGTGGGAGTACTCTCTGGTGGAAACTGTACGGAGGAAACAAATTTATGGTTTGCATGTGGTTTGAAATAACCTGGGCTATATGCTTCAACAGAGGTGTCACTAGGGGTCTTATTCCAAAAAAATCTTGTACAGGCCTACTGTGAAGTGTATGGTTATTTACAAAATAGTCTTGATGGTTAGACTCGTAGCCCCTGTTATGGCTTTTTACGTTAGCGCGAGAGGGGTCTGCTACGCGTAACTGGGAGGAGTTGCGACTGTTGTTATACATGGGAGCCGTTGTTATGTGATGGGTCGGTACTAAAGGGTATGAGAAGTTTTCTTTTTGAGAGTAATTACAGTTGCGATCCTGGGGAATGTAGGTAGGGTGTGGAGTGAGAAACCTATTATTACCATTCTTATTTATGGTTTTAGGCTTCAGAGGGTGATTTGGGTGGCCAGTTCTCTGGTAGTTTTCGTTAGTCTGCGTGTAAGAAGGCTTGCTACGTTGAAGCCCACCACCCTTTTTGCAACTTGGAGGTGTTGAAGGCAAGTTATACGATAGCAGCGGGGAGAACCTGTTCACTGTTCTTGGGATACCTATAGAGCAGTTGGGTTCAATCTTACGTGTTTCCCTATTCGGTATCATGAGTTTTGTCTTCCCACCCTTTATTTTCAGAGCAGGATTCTTTCGTTGTCTTTGTGAGATGAACTTACGTTCATTCAAGTCTACTTGTGGAATGTCTTTAGGAGGACAAATTTTCAAGTGTATAGGTTTAGTTGCACATGTGTTGTTACACGACTCACATTTTAGTACATTACTGAATGAACAGCTGGGATTAGTCATGTCGTTATGGTTTTTGGTGTCAGTTGGGGTCCGTATCTTATCCAAAGGTTTCTGATCTGTAGACTCATCTAGATCAACAGAGTGATCAGCCGTATGTGGAGTGGTGTCATGCTTAATGTTCGTGTGTTTTAAACTATTTGCTGTGTTGCAAACTGTCTCTGGCTGATTATTAACTGTAACACTCCCATTCAATTCTATCGCTTCGCGTCTTCTTACACGACGTTGACAGGGCGTAAGGTCTGGAGTGACTTTTATATTTTTGTATGGAATTAGTGAGCTAATGTTTTTGCTCAAATCAATAAACTGCTTAGCATCGTTACAACAGCCAAACATAAACAAGAGGGGGCAAGTTGATCTGTCTGACTTTTTTCTAAGGCGGATGACTTTGCAGTTAACGTTCGGCATACCGCATGCTCTAAGGCAAATATCTCTTAACTTAGATGGGTGTGTGCGGTCGGGGAGGTTATACACAACTGCATTGAAGGAGGACATTACTCTCTTCGTCACTTCTTCAGCCACAAACTCCAAAATACACTCAGCTTTAGTGAGTTGCTCAAGATTTCTGTCTGTATCAAGGCCCCATATATGAGTGAGGGGTGCTAATTGCTCAAGTTTGCCGTTAATTTCGGATAGAGAGTTTTGTAGCTGTCGGATGTCATTACTATATCTATCAGTATTTTGGTGCGTATGAGGTGGACCATTGGACTCTTTAGTTTTTGAAATTTTAGACTTAGGCCTTGGTAGCACATACTGTTTAGTAGACTGTGCTGACTTTTCAATGCACGTAGGTATAGTGTCTTGTATGTCAACCAGTCTTACCGTTGGCATACTGCACGTAAAGATAGAGGGGCTGCGACATGGAGAATCTGGTGACGATAGGGACATTTGTGTACAATGCATATATTTTTCAGTAGTTAAAGGTTCGACATTGTCAAGCACTGAGTCGTCAGTTGTAGGGGTTACAGATTTGGACCTTTTATTTGGCTTAGAAGTTGGTGAAATTCCTCTTTTACTGGAGTTATTGGACATGATATGAATAAAAGTGAGCACAGTGCTCGTTAAATTAAATATAATATCTGAGTATTAAATGTTATTAAGTATTAACCTGGTTAATACTAGGATTAGAGACTGTGAGTATATAATAAATTGCAGACCTATTTACGACTTAAGTCCGCAATAGGTACAATACGAACTGGTAATTGTCCGTCGAATGAAAATAAGTTTTTTCTTATGTTTCGTGGTGAGATGTTCCCGATGTACAGGATAGGATGATAATCACAGTATAATACACCCTACAAAAGAGCAAGTCGAAGAATTCCTAAACCACGTGAAAAAATGTTACCACTTTCAAAGTTCGCGCCAGGGTAGGGTAGAAAAGTCCGGAATACCTGCGCCTCGACCCTCCGTAAGTCTAGAAAGTCGTACGAAGAAAAGATTGTTGAGGAATTCATAGAATGTCCTAAACGCTTGTATTCCTATATAAACCAAAGGACAAAGTGAAGAGGACATATTCCTGCTCTATGGGGAGACAGTACTGCCGCATCATTAGTGGAAGAAGACTTTGGTAAGGCTCAAGCGTTCTCGAACTACTTTAGCAACGTGTATACCATAGAAGCACCCTTCTCGTCAGCGTATACAGATCCCCCCATACATACACTGGATAGCGTGACCATTAAAGAACTCGATGTCTTTGGTCTGCTAAATAAGCTTGACATAGGTAAATCAACGGGGCCCGATGAATTACATCCTAGGCTACTGGAGGAATTATCTAACTTCGTTGCGGACCCTTAAGTATATGCTTTAATCTATCCGTAACACAGGGTCATTTACCAAAAGACTGGAAGAACACCATAGTAAGTCCTGTCTTCGAAACAGTTATGAAACATAAATCTGAGAATTACCAACCCGTTGGCCTAATTTGTGTGGTTGTAAGATTTTTAGAAGAGATTATTCGAAAGGAGCTGTTTAAGTATCTCGATAAAAACCTGGATCCTTGTGAGAAGCAGCACGGTTTCAGAATAGGTCACTCTTGTCTCGCTATTTTATTAGTGGCTCGTGAAAGCTGATGCGCTCTTAAGGACCAAAAGTTACCTGGAGATGTAACCTACATTGACTTCAGCATAGCTTTTGACAAGGTTCCGCACAACCGGCTATTATATAAATTAAGACATGTCGGGATTGGAGGCAATCTATTGGTGTGGATAAAAGACTTCCTAGTTGGGCGTCAACAAAGAGTTCGGGTGAACTCAAAGTTATCTAGCTGGGAAACTGTGCTTAGTGGAGTGCCCCAGGGTACAGTTTTGGGGCCAGTGCTATTCCTCTTGTATGTAAATGATTTTCCTCGTCTCTTATCACCATCGGTCTTGCTATATGCTGACGATGTCAAGATATGGAGAACGATACGATGTGAGGGTGATAGCTTAGAACTCCAAAATGACCTGAAGAAGTTATCTGAATGGTCTCAAACATGGCAGTTGCCAATGAATACTTCCAAGTGTGTTGTGATGCATATCGGTCATCAAGGTACAGATACATACACGATGAATAACACTGAGCTACCTGTCGTCCAGACATACAATGACTTAGGAGTCATCGTTAGTCAAGACTTAAAGACTACTGCACACCGCCGTGCAATAGCCGCCAAAGGTTTTAGAAAGTTATGGTCAATACATAGGGCTTTTAGTCATGTCGACGCTAAGACGTTTTTGACTTTGTATACAGTGTTCGTTCGTCCTGAACTTGAGTACTGCATACAAGCGGCTAGCCCCTGCTTTAAAAAAGACAGTGAGCTTCTGGAAAAGGTTCAGAGAACGTCAACTAAGCCGATTCCCGGAAGAGCGAAGCTTCCGTATGAAGTTCGACTGGCCAAGCTGAACCTTTTCCCGTTGTCATATCGCAGAACTAGAGGCGACTTGATTACAGTTTACAAATTGCTTAGTGATAAATTTGCACCTAACATGCCCTCATTTTTCTTGTCTTCCAAAACAGAGAATTTACGAGGACACTCCAAAAAAGTTCACAACACGAGAACAAATTACTTGTCAGCTGACTATCGACTTTCCCATCGAATCATCAACGAGTGAAATTCACTACCTCAGCACGTGGTTGAGGTTCCATCCGTCGACTCTTTCAAAAGAAAGTTGGATCAACTGAGAGACCACCATTGCCAGGACTAACATAGGCCATCGAGCCTCCTGTCCTTCCCAAACTGAAACTGAAACATTGATACGAGGCACCAAATACATATGTGCCACAAAAATCATTTGATCTGTGTGAGGGCTGAGATACTGTTCGGGTGCCCAGACAGAAGCAAGTTGTTTTCTTATGGACCCCACACTCCGAGCTGACTCAACCCACCGCCGGTCGTACCAGGGCATTTTGGGGTTATGTGTCTTATCATTTGATTATATATATGGCTGATAATAAAAGTCCGATATATTCATGATCCGTCTAGATATTAGGCGGTCCATAAAAAGTGCCCATGATTTGAGTAGGAGTTCTAGAATTAATTTATGAAGCTCCTTAGTGTCTAAATCAGGGTTATTTATAATAATAATAATAATAATAATTTATTCTCAAATAACAGTTTGTTACATGAGGCATGCCAGTTTACGGGCAAGATCAAATTGATACAAATGATAAAATATACACTGTATTAAATTACATTGCTGGGTTGAAAATTTATAAGACATGAATGTAGATTTATACGAATATTCGTCAAGATTAGAACGAATAGTTTGACAGTAATTGAGCGCCGAGTATAGAGAAGTCATTATATGTGAAAATTATATTTGAAATATTCTCAGCGATTGAAATTTAACTAATTCCAACGTTTCGTCCAGCTAACTTGTCTGGACTTCTTCAGGGTAATAATCAAAATCAAAATTATCAAAGAAATATATAGCTTCTTAACAATCAGAATTATACTGTGTTAAACCAATCATATTTGGGTGTTGATTTTTTGTAAAATAGGATAAAATGAGTCAGTTGACTACAAATCATGTGATGAATTCAACTACATGGAAATACTTAACTGAGTAACAAATCGTATGTGTGTGAGTGTGTATGAATGTATGCATGTGTGAGAGATTGATATGAAGGAATAAATAAAGTTCAAGTTCAAGGATGAAAAACTTGATAATGAAAGATCGATGTGCATGTCAAAACATAAATTGTATTGTTTAGAAACTCATTCAGTTCTTTCAATAATAATAACGATGCATGTGATATTAAAAACAGGTTTAAACAAGAGATAGGTTCCAAATTTACTTGTCAAAACGGAATTTGCCAGGTAGTTGCCGTTTGAATACCATCTTTTCGGTTCAGGCTGTTCTTGTTCGCCCATATATGCAGAGCTTCTGCTGTCAATCTTTCTTTATGGGTGTTAAAACCTTTCTGAAGTATTTTGGTCCCTTCAAAATTAATCTTGTGTCCTGTTTCTAACGCATGTAACGCTATCGCTGACTTATTTTCAAGTTTCTTTAAATCTACCGAGGATTTTGGAACATTTTTCAAGCATTGTTTGTGTTCCTTCATTCTTTCTCATTTTTCTTGTCTTCCAAAACAGAGAATTTACGAGGACACTCCAAAAAAGTTCACAACACGAGAACAAATTACTTGTCAGCTGACTATCGACTTTCCCATCGAATCATCAACGAGTGAAATTCACTACCTCAGCACGTGGTTGAGGTTCCATCCGTCGACTCTTTCAAAAGAAAGTTGGATCAACTGAGAGACCACCATTGCCAGGACTAACATAGGCCATCGAGCCTCCTGTCCTTCCCAAACTGAAACTGAAACTGAAACTAAAATGTGAGTTGTGTAACAACACACATCCAACTAAACCTATACACTTGAAAATTTGTCCTCTTAAAGATATTTTACAAGTAGACTTGAATGAACGTAAGTTCATCTCACAGAGACAACGAAAGACTCCAGCTCTGAAAATAAAGGGTGGGAAGACAAAAGTCATGATACCGAATAGGGAAACACGTAAGATTGAACCCAACTGCTCTATAGGTATCCCAAGAACAGTGAACAGGTTCTCCCCGCTGCTATCGTATAACTTGCCTTCAACACCTCCAAGTTGCAAAAAGGGTGGTGGGCTTCAACGTAGCAAGCCTTCTTACACGCAGACTAACGAAAACTACCAGAGAACTGGCCACCCAAATCACCCTCTGAAGCCTAAAACCATGAATAAGAATGGTAATAATAGGTTTCTCACTCCACACCCTACCTACATTCCCCAGGATCGCAACTGTAATTACTCTCAGAAAGAAAACTTCTCACACCCTTTAGTACCGAACCATCACATAACAACGGCTCCTATGTATAACAGCAGTCGCAACTCCTCCCAGTTACGCGTAGCAGACCCCTCTCACGCTAACCTAAATAGCCATAACAGGGGCTACGAGTCTAACCATCAAGACTATTTTGTAAATAACCATACACTTCACAGTAGGCCTGTACAAGAATTTTTTGGAATAAGACCCCTAGTGACACCTCTGTTGAAGCATATAGCCCAGGTTACTTCAAACCACATGCAAGCCATAAATTTGTTTCCTCCGTACAGTTTCCACCACAGAGTACTCCCACCCTTTCCTCCTGGGTAAACTCCCCAATCAACTTCACTAGCTCATTTGATACATCTCCCAATAAGTTTAGCTATCAAAATACCGAGCTAATGAAGAACATCCAATCACTCACATCAAACTCATCTCATACGCGCGAGGGTTACGACGATTTTATCCGAGACACCCTCATCCTTTTCAACTTAGTAGGCCACCTGCTTAATATATGTCTTATCAACGCTCGATCGATCTGCAACAAAAAGACGGATTAAGCCCTGTTTGTATCCATATATCAACCATCAGTTATTATGATATCTGAAGCATGGACAAACAGTAACATTTCCGACCGAAGTATATCTCTTGATAACTATTCCCTATATAGAAGCGATAGATTGAATGGACGAGGTGGATGATGCCTTATTTACGCTCACTCTAGCCTAAACTCACTGCTATGTGATATGCCTGAACTAAACAAACTGAAGGATTCGGTGTGGATTGTATTAAAGACGTCGAATTCCGTTACCTTACTGCTCGGCTGTGTTTATCGTCAACCTAACGCATCAATAGATAAAATAGCAGTATTATCATGGTTTGCTTCGTTCTTAACAGAACGTAAACAGATGGTAAAGTACAATGACTGTCTCTCGTCCCCTAGACCAATCACCAGTGGAGTCATCCAGGGAAGCGTATTAGGGCCACTTTTGTTTCTTATGTATATAAACGATATATGTAACACCATAGAATTTGGGAAACCGTACTTATATGCTGATGATCTCAAAATAGTATACAGCTA